ATAAGATCAAGGAGTTCGCTGACAGGTAATGATTGACCGTCTACCGTGTGGGAGCATCTATTGACGTTGCATGCAGCCCTGATCTCCACAGCCAACAAACCACAAGCAATCTTGCCGCTCTCCTCCTCGCTCCGATCAACTCCTACCAATCCGTGCTCACTCTTCTCGCGCTCACCCACTATGTACCACTACTCAACCTACAGACCTTTGCTACTCGCCGCACCCTTGCACACTCCATCGTGTCTTCTGTCCTCAAGAACGAGACTATCGTCGAGGCACCGGAGGATGTCAACGGCATCCTGGAGCTGTGCCATGTCCTCATCAAGGACCAGGCTGACGCTGGAGTTGGAATCGGGAGCACCGGACCGCCGAGTCTTCGCGACGGAAGACGCGGTCCGTATGGGGCTGAGAGGGAAGACGTTGCGGAGGAGCAGGGCTGGATTGCACGGATGGTACATCTGTTCAAGGCAGAGTCCTTGAGCACACAATTCGAGGTTTGTACAGCGAGCCATCCGCCGCCGTCGTTGTACTTACCTCGTTTCCATAGCTTCTCCAGACTGCTCGGAGACACTTCGAGGCTGGGGGTGACCGGATGCGCTTTACCTTCCCAGCCCTCATCACTTCCTCAATCAAGCTGTGCAGACGATATAAGAACCGGGAACACTTGGTAAGCATCCTACCCCGAATTTTACCACAATTCATTGCTGAACGAACATTGTCTCATGCAGGAGGACGAATGGTCCACAAAAGTGTCTTCCATCCTGAAGTTCGTGCGCCAGCTCATCTCCATACTTGCCAATCAAGTGGAGGCACCTTCTATCGCCCTACGTCTCTTCCTCCTCGCCGCTCAAATATCCGACGAGTGCGGCTTTGAGGACCAGACGTACGATCTGTACGTGGAGGCATTCACCGTGTACGAAGAGAGTATATCCGAGTCGCGTGCCCAGCTGCAAGCGATCACGCTGATTATCGGCACTCTCCAAGGCGCGCGTGTCTTTGGACAGGATAACTACGATACCCTCATCACCAAGGCTGCCCTCCACGGTGCGAAGCTGCTGAAGAAGCCTCACCAAGCCTCGGCTGTGCACCTCGCGAGCCACATGTGGTGGCAAGAGGCACCTGCGCCCAAAGGGAAGGAGGACGGCGAGAAGGATGAGAAAGAGGAGCTCACAGAAAAGCCCCCGTTGCCCAAAGACAAAGACGACGCAGAGAACTCGAAGGCCGTAAGTCGTGGTGTCTTGTCTGGTTTGGGAGGTGTATTAACGTTGAGCCGTATAGTACCCTCATCAGGACAGCAAGCGCGTGCTGGAGTGCCTACAGAAGTCCCTGCGCATCGCGAACTCCGCAACGGAGGAGATTGTCACCATCCAGCTCTACGTCGACACCCTTGATCAATATCTCTTCTACCTCGATCGCGGCGCCTCTGCTGTACGTGTATTTATTTTCTTCCGCTCTCACCTCCCTGAGTCTGTTACCCAGGTCACGCCCAAATTCGTCAACTCTCTGGTGGAGCTCGTTACTGCAAGCATCGACAACATCGCGTCGCCGGATGTCCACCCGTCACAGCGCGCACCGGCGGGCTTACTCGAGGGTGTGCAAACGCCTGAGATGATCACGCGGCACTTCCGCAACACCCTCGTATACATCCAGACGAAGAAGACAGCGGCTGAGGAGGGCTCTGCGAACGAGCGATGGGGCGACGTCGACATCGTCGGCGCGCAGCTCAAGATGGGGCTGGGCACACGGCAATGAAGAGCTTGCGGCCTGGAGCACTCTGGATCGCATGGGTGGATGGTGTGTTTATTGACTTTTTGCAATGCTTTGTGCTACGATATGGGTGTTTATGTCTCATTCATTTTGTTTTACTGTCACATAATCATTGATTCATGCTTCACGTCGCAACTCAGCTCCAGTACCGTCAAGCTTATCAACGCCAGGTTTGTCTAGCTTCACGTCCACGGTTGAGACGGGCTGGTGTCTTTGGTAGATATAAAAACACAGAGAGCCAGCCGCCGCCCACGGAGCTGTATGATACACCCATCCGCAAGTCCCGAAATCCCTCCCATTCAGCGCTTCGGCCCTCACCCTGCACCCCGGAAGTTCGAGCAAGGTCCCAGTGTACTCTGAGTCGCCCGTTCCTTAAGTTGAGTGTTCACATCCCCTTCTTGCCATGGTATTCCTAGCGACCGTTTAGTAGTTTCGACTGGTCCCATTACATAATCGGAAGGTGTATGGACGAGAAGACCGGCATTCCAACGCTCGTCAGACACATATTTTGATTCACTCACCCGCCGCGCCTGAATCTGGCCAGCACTTCGGGAATCGGGGAGATGAGCGAGGTCGCTGTGTTCTCTGAGTCGTTCCGCGTCATTTTTCCTCTAGCTAAGTGTTCAAATCCCCTCGTCCTCGTATTCTTAGCAATCGACCGGTCTTTTCGCGATCGACCGCTCGCAGTGGAAGGAAGAAATATGGACGAGAAGAGGATTTGAACCGTTCCGCCGACTGATACATCCTCCAAGTCTGAGCAAGACTGAAGCTGCCGTCCTTATAATTTTCCCACTATCACCTGCACATCCTGAAATACTGCCAGCTCCTCGCACGCTGCCAAGCGAGGTGCCAGCTTTCTCTCAGTCGCCTTAGACCACCCGTCTCTTAAGCTAAGTGTTCAAATCCCCTGCTTGTACTTGTATCAATCTTCCAGTTGTAATAACGACCACTTCCGAAGAAGATTTAGACCCCTCAGGCGACTTGACGACTCGGTGTGCTTCGCGCCGTACTGCCTGACGCCACGCCGCACGTGAAACGTCGGACGTGGTGTCCTCCGTCTCGTCACCTTTCCCACTCCCATTCGCTTGTGTAGGATCGAGAGCGGGCAGCTCCTGAATGGCGGTCCATCTCGTCCCAACTCCAATCCGGAAGTCACCGTGTATCACCCGTATTTGTCAAGCTAGAGTTTCAAACTCGCTCTCAATCCAAGTGAGAGGAAGGTGTATGGTCGAGAAGAAGGAAATTCAAACCCCTACCGTGCGACTTTAGTAACTCGGTAAGCATTTTCGCGGAATGTTTCATCTTCCCGCAGATCCTGAAATCCTTCCAGCTCTTTCCCCTGGCACGCCGGAAGTCTGCCGAGCAGGGCACCAGATTTCTCTCAGTCGCCCTAGATCACCCGATCCTTCAGGTAGGTGTTCAAACCCCCTGCTTGTTCCCGTATCGATCTTCCAGCCGTGATCTTCATCAATTCCGAAGAAGATTTAGACCCCTCAAGCAACTGAGCGTCTCGGTGTGCTTCGCGGCGCACGTCCTGATACCGTCCTACTCACGAGCCTGGATCGTCGGACATGGCATTCTCCATCTCGTTGCCCTCCCCACTTCCGTTCGCCTGTGGGGCGTCAAGACTCAACGGGCAGTCTCCGAATGCCAGTCGTCCTAGGGAAACAGTCGACATCAGACTCAATTCGCTCTAGTCAATCCAAAACTCGCCCGGTCCTGCCTGGGTGTCCGAAGACTTTTTCGGGGCAGTGACTTCGACGAACTCGCGATGTTGCACCTCCACAGGCCTTTTCAAGGCCATCTATCGAACATTTCAAGACAGAAACTTGAACATCGCGGAGTCTGCTCGAGTCGGCCTACGCCATCGTCGTACAACGTCAACAAGGCCCCGATGTTCTGTTAACAAGTCGCCTTGTATCAACCTTCCTTATCAAGCTAGGGTTTCGAATTCTTTTCCACCGCCATCAATGCCAGCGAGAGGAAGGTATATGAACGAGAAGGAGAGGAATTGAACCCCCTCAGTAAGCATTTCTGTCGACTGATTCATCTTCCCGTTCACTCAGCGTTCAAACGTTCACCTCGCACTACAAAGTTTGATCAACTCGAAGGCTGAAGCAGCCTGCATGACGGTTTCGAATCCCCTTCTCATCTTCGTATTCCAAGCAATCGACTAGTCTTCTCGGCCGCTCGCTGATACATAGACAAGAAGAAGGGGATTCAAACCCTTGCCTAGCGACTTAGCTTAGACTTAGCACTACACTGCACTCTAACCACGAGCAAAGTCCTCCGTCTTGCTAATCTCTCTACTTCCATTCCGACGGTGTATATCTGGACCAGGATAACTGGCTGACTGGGTCACGCACCTGAGCTCGGCAGAGAACGGAGCGCCATGTCCGCAGGTCCTTCCGCGAAAGTACGTGCCGTCGATCGCGTCGCTGTTGACTTTTGAGTCGCATTCATCCTCATCGTCATACACAGCCGATTCCTCGTCATCGGGCTCGGGCTCAGGCTCTCGCACGGTTGTCTGCGCGGACCATCGTTCAGTCCAGAGATCGCGTCCATGGATCCCAGACGCCAGCGGGAACGCGGCTTCTGTACAAATTCGAGGAATATTGAACGCAAAGCCGGCCCAGCGCTTTCCGTTGACCGGACTAATGGAAGCTTCGTACGGAGGCATAGCTGTGTGTGAGGCGCGTTGCCGGCGAGAGCGTCGTGATGTCATCTATAGCTCACATGCCGGATTATCCATGCATTCCAAACTATCCATGTATTCACAGTATATATGCATTCCACAGTACTCGTCCAGATCAATCACTCCTTCTCCTCCTCGCACCTCTCTATCTCTCTCTTTCCCGGCGATTCTTAGGTAGGGCGCCAGCGTAACCCAGGACTGTTGGAACCACCAGAGGGGGGTCTTGGATTCTGGCTTCATTAGGACGACCTCCGCCCAGTACGTCTTCCACGGCACGCATAAAGTAATCATGCACTGCAGCACAGTCCAGACACCCTCTGTGCTCCCGGATCTCCAGGCGTGGCCCAAGTGGCCATACAGATGATCACCCCACATGTCTTGGGGTCCTTCCAGCCATTACCAGTCTTCCGGAGATTGAATACTGTCTCGGCACGCACTGCGTCGCCTTGGATGACCCTCTCCTCCTCCCCCCAGTCCGTGGGACCTTCCAGTCGCCAGGGACGCAAAAAAAATGCTGTAAAAATCGCTAGAAAAACAATGACAAGAAGGGGATTCGAACCCCTGCCGGTGTAAACCGATGAGAAACCTGAAGATCAGGTAAGCTTTCGCTTGAGTCACACGCCTTGGACCGCTCGGCCATCTTGCCTTGAAACGACTTTGAGGCTTATTCTATATTACCTAGATTGTACATTACATGGGTGGATCTCCGTGGCTTCCTCTCTTGACCTGCAACAACGACAGCATGACGGCGCCAGACACCTTTGATCAAGCTCAAACCATCCGGATCGCCATTGTATGTCCACAGCATGTAAAAACTTGCTATCAATGACCCATGTCATCACAGGCTCTTACAGCACTCAAATACAAGCCTGCAAACATCTCCATCCGACGTCAGAATTTTACCTTGTCTCTTTTCTCTGGAGCTGACAGCATTTTTCTAGAATATGTTGTGGACCTACAGAGACAGTTTTGTCTATCATGTGTTGAGGTGGAACTGGGAGAAGATCAGAATAGGGACCATGTCATAGAGTTGGAGACGAAGCTGAGCGAAGTCCAGGCTACGTCCGAGGCGCAGTACATCGGTGAGTGAGCTCTCGCTTGCATTTTTTGTTTGTCTGATTCTCTTCAAAGAGTTGCTAGCTCTAAGGGCTGTTGCGGTTGCTGCGAAGGAGACACCTTCGGCCCCTACTGTTCCGCCGGCCGTACCTACAGCTGCGAAGAGGAAACGAGCAAAGAAGCCTGGAGTTGAGAATGGCCCCCAGAACACTGCACAGGACTTGGTTGCTGCAATACCAACACCTGTAAAAGCAAGCACAGTAGCAAGCACATCCACCGAACATGGTACGTCTTTCACACGGGCTCTCCTCGAGTTCGCGTCCTCATATATGCGTTCATACGAAGCCCTCCTTCCTGCCCTCCGTGCCCTATTCGCGCTTTCTTCGGCTATTTCCAATCCCTTTAGCTCCAGCCCACCTCCTTCTCTTTTGTTGGCCTCTGCATCTCGTTGCATCGAAAGTCTGGGCTCTATTTTTGTCTCCTCTCGTGCACACGACGCGGCCGCACGATCAGCAGCCGGATCTGGATTCTCTCCGCCCGAAGCCCAAAATATAGTCACTCGTGTACTTCCGCACGTACTCTCTACCGTGCTACCTCCCTTACTCAACTCCTTCAAGCGCTCCGGATCTATAAAGCTGCAGAAAGGCAATGCATGGCCTCTGGACGCATCTCTCGGACTGCCATCTGTTGACAACGACCTCTCAACCGCTCTGGATGCAATTTTCGGCTCTGCGCTTGAACTTATTCTTCTACCGGCAGTGAGAGCATTCGCTCCAATGACCGCCGCTCACGTGGGACATTGTCTTCAACCGTCTACTCCCATCCCCAGATCTCAGACTCAATCAGTAGCGCCTCTCAGCCCTGCATCTCTCCTCGGTCTTGTCGCCTCAACTATCGACACCCTTGCTGACCTCTGTTCCGACGCGCAACCACCTGCCTCCGCTCGAGATAAAGCTCTTCTTGCCTGTGTGCAAGCCGTCCGAGATCGCGTCGCGCTTGAGGCCGTCCGCGAACTCACAAGATTGTTCTCCGGGGAAGCAGAAGCCCAATCGACCGAATCACGCATAATCCGACTTGCTCGCAAGGACACACTCCATCGTCTTTGCGCCGCAGCCTCCCTGTCTCTGCATCGTGCTAGCGAGCCCTCTTCAATCCTAAGGGAGGCGCTGGGGGAGGCTCTAGGAGAGCTTGTGAGGATGCCCACTAAAAGCGCGATGGATGAAGTAGAGGAAGCGATTATGTTGGCTGTTGTTGAGCGGGCTTGGGCTGTCGGGGTCGTCTTGAGTGGGAAGAGCCACGCCGAAGACCGCGATGTGGAGATGAGTGCAGGAGATGAAGACAAGTCGTAAGTTTTGGCTCTCACTTACTTATCCTTATTGTTCATTCGCATCTTTGAACGTGAACTACTACATTTTCGTTATTTCTGTTTCTTGGTATGAGCTGCTGAACGCCAAAAAATCGCGAATCATAATATCGCGCCCACAGATAAAGTGTGACAATCTCTCGAAACCTCTCCATGAGATTTCCAGTGATGACAGGGAATCGGAGCCCGCTAGTTTGTATACCAGGGCCGATGCGAGCCAGACCTGCATCATATTGCGAGCAAAATGGAAGGAAGAAATTCGTGTAGAACAGATAAAGCAGTCCAACAAAGCGAAACCAGAGACTAGATTGTCCAATCCACCAGAGGAAGGATGGCAGATGTAAGCCAGAAGACAATATTGAGACATGGTGAAATGAGAACAGCCTGATTCGAAGGTCGGAAACGCTAGGAAAGAATTGTTCTCGTTATACGCTTGTCCTGCGCCGACGATAACGGGACACGGCTCGTCAGATTGACGTAGACCCACCTTCCTCGAAGACAGAGGTTTTCGATCCACGCAAAAACTCCAATATTGTCTGCTGAAGGGTCATCCTCATTCCCTGGCGAACATCCGGGGTAATGTGAGCGAGTGCTTATCCAAATGGCTCGAGAACGAGGCGTCATGGAATTTGCAGACATTGGGAGCTTTCGAGGGTAGAAGGGGCGCCTATCTGCTATCAGTCTTCATATGCTGCCACATTATGAGTGCAATGCAGACCTTGCAGACCTTGCAGAAAGCGAACATGCAGCTGAGGCCCGAGGACTGCGTGCCCAGTGAAGGACATATTTGTGCGCCGGAGTTGATAGAGTTCCGCCTCAACAACACACCCTCAAGTATCACCGCACGGTCGCCTCCAATGGAAGCCATACAGGTCAGGGGTCGAGGGACAGAAAAGAATCCTTGCCAAGGGGAACTGCTGCAGCTACGAAGGCTTTCCGAGATCCTCTTCGTCCTGCTCCTGTGATGCAAAAGCTGTTTTTGGTATGGCGTGCACCATCGAGCCCCATAAGAGGGCAGGCAACAGTTCAGCCAGCCTCGGCAAGGTGCAAGACTCCGACCCAAGCTTTCAGTTGACACAGAGGTCACCGAAGGGATGCTCACGGTGGGGTATTCCGACGAATGTCTCTTTGACTCGAGAGAGGATCGCAGTTCGCCAGTTGATGAGCGCGCCAGTGTTCTCGTAAAACCACAGTTGACAGCCGGTGGACTGCGTCCATGATTTGGTTCTGCCCTGACTTCGTTTGCCGCAGATATTTCTGGAAGCCTGTCAAGAAGGACAGCTCAACCCGGCTTGTATTCGACCTGTCTTAGAACAAATATAATGTCTTTGGGCTATGAAAATCACTGATCCACTCACACTAACATAAGGTCGCTTGATCCCTCCGGTAACCCACGTAAGGTCGGGACTCCCTATAACGCCTCTTCGTGGCTGCCCATGTCACCGTGTATATCAGAATACGCCATGACGTGTATGATGACTGGGTGGAGGTGGCGATGAAATCAACATAAATCGACAGACTAAGACGGTTGACTGCAAGACAAGGGTAGAGGTTGGCGTGGATTGCGTCCGCAGCTTGAACAAGTCAGCCTGAACGTGCCTGAAAACAGTGACCTGAAGAGCGGTCGACACCGAGAATCCAAGACCGCCCAGATTATCCGTAGAGCATGTAGGGTGGCCTTATCAACTTGTACGACTTAGCTGTGTTGTGAAGTTTGAATGGAGCTACGATGATGGCAAGAAGACCTTCAGTGCAAAGGCGGTCCGAACCCATGCATGGCGGCACCTGAATCTGAGTCACAAATGGATGGCGCTCCTGCCACAACGATACAGGCGGTCGAGTCCTGATCTAGACGTGAGTTATACTTGAAGTTGTAATCCAAACTCGCTGTGGTTATAGGATCCACGATAGTGGGAATGTATCAAGCAAACTTGAAGCGCATAGCCGCTCCATCAAGCTTTCAAGCTCAAGCGCTCAAGGCCGGCTGACGCGCGAGTACAAGTACTCCTATATTTCCGACGACCATATCGATCGTCCTGATACTTGCTTTTCTCTCTCAGGACGAATCGCACTGAAGTGTTCTTCATCATGGAGACCAGTCTTCCAGAACTGCCCTTTACGTCCGTTGGAGTCAGGATCGCCGACGTCGACCAACGTTCAGCACCGTCACCCTCGCATGGCATTGTCAGCAACCTTTGACCAACCTTTGACGGACGTAGCTCACTTCAACCCTTGGCTCTCATTCGAAACCGACGTCGCCCATGCTATAACGTCAGCGATGGATGCCACAAACATCCTTCCGGGGCGTCTTTCAGGTGGAAACGTCCTCCGTCGTCAGCCTGTCGTACGGAACCAGGGTGATTTATATACACACGTGCGAAACGAGCTCCATCCAATGGTCATCAACACCACGGCGCACCTTGAAACACACGGTGAATCAATCAGTTTTGAAGGAGCGCCAATTGTTATAGGGAGTCCGGATTTTTTGTGGATTTCTGGAGGGTCGATGCGACCTCAAGTCATTGTGAGTCGGATCAGTGATTATCATAGACATGGCGTTGTATTCATTCTCCGACAGGCTGAATACAAGCTTCCTTGGGCCATAGACCTTGAAGGGCTTCCAGAGGCCATCGTGGCGAAGCTCTCTGGTGACGAACTTGAATCGCCTGAGACAAGCCACACAGTCGACGCGGTTCATCAGCTATAGCCTATATGGCTATATGACGTTCAACAACTGCAAATATGGCGTTCTTTCGAACTGGAAGCATACCGTCTTCTTCAAACGCGTGAAAGACAGGACACTGGAATATTCTCGTCCCATCGATGTCGATGTTGCATCGACAGGGTCCATGTCCATCCTGAAGGCCTGGGTCGGCTTCCTACTACACGCGGAACGGGCAGAGAACTCTCAACTCCATCTCCCGTGTGCCACGTATCTCTCGTACACATCGACCTAAGTCACAGCGACCAAACATTGCCTTACCCCTTGCTCAACGGGATCGGCTACCCCTTTATAGAGTTGGAGCCGCGAGCCTGTCGCTTCGGCATCTCTGGCACACCAGGATCCGCTGCAGGTGATCTCACGACATGCAGTCTAAAGTAACCCAACTAATTCCGTTGGCAGACGATTTCTCTCCCGGATGGAAGCGACATTCCTACCGTCTACAAGGTTGTCGACGTTATGTCCGATGACTCGGCGATGAACAGGGTTCAGACCGAGGTACAGG